TCACATGGACGTGTGGGGCCCAGTCCGCGTCCGGGGACAGGGTCACGAGCGCTACTTCCTGCTCGTTGTTGACGACTACTCGCGTTACACCGCAGTCTTCTCCTTGCGCACCAAGGGTGATGTTACTGAGGTGCTGATCGACTGGATCCGCGCAGCTCGTCTCCAGCTCAGGCAGAGCTTTGGCTCGGACTTTCCTGTTCTGCGTCTGCACTCGGACAGAGGCGGAGAGCTCTCCTCTGGCCTTTTGAGAGCTAACTGTCGCGCGCGAGGCATCTGTCAGACCTTCACGCTTCCGGACTCCCCGCAGCAAAATGGGATTGCTGAGCGCCGCATTGGCATGGTCATAGACGTCGCTCGTACGTCTATGATGCATGCGGCTGCCCCCCATTTTCTGTGGCCGTTTGCGGTTCGGTACGCGGCGCATCAGATCAACCTCCACCCTAGGGTCCCCAGGCCGGAGACCTCCCCAGCCTTGCTGTGGACGGGGAAGGTTGGCGATGCGTCCGCGTTCCGGGTCTGGGGATCTCGGGCGTTTGTCCGCGACTTGTCTGCGGACAAGCTGTCCACTCGTGCTGCTCCTTGCGTCTTCCTGGGGTTTCCCCCTGACGCGCCTGGGTGGCAGTTCTACCACCCCACCTCTCGCCGTGTTCTGTCCTCCCAAGACGTCACGTTGGACGAGTCGGTTCCCTACTACCGCCTCTTCCCCTACCGCACTCCGTCCCTCCCCCCCCCCCCCGCTCTTCCTTGTACCAGGTCCCCCCCCGGTTGACCCCCTCCCCCCTCAGGATCCTACCCCTTCAGGTGTGTCCCAGGTAGACGCAGTCGAGCCTGTCGAGGTTACTGGTGACTCTGGTGCTGCTGAGGGTGCTGCGCCTGGGGGTGCTGAGACTGGGGGTGCTGAGCCTGGGGATGCTGAGACTGGGGGTGCTGAGCCCGGGGGTGCTGAGCCTGGGGGTGCTGAGAATGGGGGTGCTGAGCCTGGGGGTGCTGAACCTGGGGGTGCTACGCCTGGGGGTGCTGAGCCTGGGGGTGCTGTGCCTGCGGGTGCTACGCCTAGAGGTTCTCCGGGTGCTTCGTCTCTGCGGGAGCCACTCTCTCCACAGGAGCTGCGCGAGTGGTTTGCAAGGCGCTGGAGGCGTGCTGCTGGAGCTGGAGGTTATTTGACTACTGAGGGTGCTGCTGTCGCGAGTCCCGGAGGTGCCCGTACAGGGCGTACTGGAGCTGCTGGGCCTGCGAGTTTGACTGGAGGTGGTGCTGTTGAGGGTGTTGGCGCTGAGACTACTGCTGGCGGTCCCGCCGGAGGTGTTCTTGGTGCTGCTGGAGGTACTGAAGCTGGAGGTGCTACTGGTGCTGCCGCTGAGGGTACTGTTGCTGTCCCTGCTGTGTCTAGAGTCGCCGCGCGACCTCGGCCGTACTTCGTTCCGCTCCTGCAGCAGGTTCTTGGTCTTCCACTTTCTAGTGGTCCTCCTCCTCCCTTAGAGTGTCCACAGCCTCTCCCGTCACAGTTGCAGTTACAGCTTGCCTCCCCTTTGCCTGCTCCTTCTCCCTACACTAGTCCTACCGGAGGTCTTGCTGAGCGTCGTGAGCCTGCGTCTCGCCCTACGTCACCCGTCCGTGCTGCTTGCACTAGTGGTCGTGGTTCGCGTCAGCGTCCTCCTCCTGTCCCTGGCACGCACCGGATGTCTCTGTGTCCGTCCACTGCTCCTCTACGTGCCCCTTTGCGTTCTCCTCCTTAGTCCTCTCTTCCTGCTCTTGCCGACCCAGAGTTGGACTCTCTTCGTACTGCCAGTCCTACTCTCACGCGTCTCCTTGCTACTGTTGTCACTGACCCTTCCTTTGAGTCCACTGCTGCGTCTGCCCTAGTTGCTGAGCTCGTCGACTTTGCTGGTCGCTGTCAACTAGACTACGCTGCTAGTCTTGTCGCTGAGTCTGAGTCTGTCTGTCCTTCGTCCGTCGGGGGTGAGTGTGCTCTTGGCACGGACGTCCTTGAGGTCAGGCAGGAGGAGTTCCAGTGTCTGGCAGCTGCTTCACCTCATCTCGTGTCTGTACTGCTTACCCCTGAGGGAGACACGGATGCACTTGACATCCCGACTCCGCGCTCTTACGCGGAGGCGATAGAGGGTCCCTACTCTTCTCTGTGGCAAGCAGCTATGGATGCAGAGATGGCTTCCTGGAAGTTCACTGGCACCTACGTTGACACTGTCCCCCCTCCTGGGGCGAACATCGTCAGTGGCATGTGGATCTTCAGGGTGAAGTGGCCGCCGGGTTCTCCGCCTGTCTTCAAGGCACGTTACGTGGCTCGTGGCTTCAGTCAGCGACAGGGAGTTGACTACTTTCAGACCTTCTCCCCCACCCCGAAGATGACCACATTTCGGGTACTGCTGCACGTTGCTGCTCACCGTGACTACGAGCTGCACTCTCTCGACTTCAGCACTGCTTTCTTGTAGGGCAGCCTGCACGAGGAGATCTGGCTGCGCCGCCCACCAGGCTTCACTGGGTCTTTCCCTCCTGGTACCCAGTGGAGTCTCCGGCGTCCAGTCTACGGTCTCGGCCAGGCGCCACGTGAGTGGCACGACACAGTGAGGACTACGCTTGTGGCTCTTGGGTTTGCTCCTTCTAATGCCGACCCGTCGCTGTTTCTGCGCACTGACACCTCTCTACCGCCGTTCTACATCCTCATGTACGTCGACGACTTGGTCTTTGCCACAGCTGACACTGCTGGACTCGCCTACGTGAAGTCCGAGCTGCAGAAGAGACACACGTGCACAGACCTGGGTGAACTGGGCAGCTACCTTGGCTTGCAGATTACCCGGGACAGAGCACGCCGCACCATTACACTGACTCAGTCACACATGGTGCAGCAGGTCCTTCAGCGCTTCGGCTTCACGTACTCCTCGCCTCAGGCCACTCCTCTGCCTACTCGCCACTAGCTCTCAGCTCTACCTTCAAAGAGGGTGTTGCGCTACTTGTGCAGTACGTCGGGCATGGGGCTAGTGCTTGGAGGGCGGAGTCCAGTGGTCCTCACTGGGCACGCAGACGCTTCTTGGGTTGACGACCAGGCTACGCAGCGGTTGTCACAGGGTTACACCTTCAGCCTTGGTTCCGGCTCTGTTTCGTGGCGGGCTACTCGCTCGTCTTCTGTTCTCGGCTCCATTTGTGAGGCTGAGATCTACGCAGTGGCCATGGCTGCACAGGAGCTTCGCTGGCTCACCTACCTGCTGACCGACCTTGGAGAGCCGCCTCGTTCTCCTCCAGTCCTGTACGTAGACAACAAGGCCATGCTGGCCTTGTGTCGAGAGCAGAGACCGGAGCACAGAACAAAGCACATTGCTCTTCGCTACTTCCTTGCTCGTGAGCTACAGCAGCGTGGTCAGGTGCGGCTTGCCTACATGGCCTCTGAGGCCAACACTGCTGATGTCTTCACCAAGGCACTTGCGCCTTGTGATCATCAGCGCTTCTGTACGCAGCTGGGTCTTGTGCATGTCTTGCCTCACTTGCTCACCTCTTGATGCTACTTGTACTGTTGCCTAAATTTATATCTGCTCTTGCTTGTCTAGCTTTTATATATCTATACTCCTGCATGTGAACTGGCCCTGTGGCCCTGAACTTGTGCTCGGACTGTGTGGTGACGTTGTGATCCACCCTGAGCTTGCTTTGCTTGAGTGGTCTTGTGACCCCTTGTTCTCCCCCACTTTGCCTATGGGGGTGTGTCAGAATATTGTAGCTTATACATTTTGTGTAGTCTATAGTGGGGCATCCCATAGGGGGTACAACCCAATTAGGGTTAGTACTTGTACTCTCTTCTTTCATACTGCATTCATTCTCGTTCATATGTTCTCAGTCGGGGCTGTGGCAGATCCAGCACTCCCGACGCCGACTTCCTCCTCATCGACTGCCATCCTTGGCCGACTTCGTCATGTCGGCGTCCTTCGCCGGCTTCCGCCACTGCTTCCACCGCCGCCTGACTGTTCACGCTGTCCCGTTCGACCACCTTGCTTCGCCGGGGCGACTTAGTTCGCCTGCGGCAGGAGCTCCGAGGGCCGCTCGGCTTCCTACATTGCCTTGTCCCGCAGGATGGTCAGGGAGTCCTCGTTGAGCGTCGCCCGCGTGCTCGGCACCATTCCCGCCCCCCTCTCCCACCCCGAACCCCTCATACTCCCCGCCCTTTATAGTCACGTCCTCGATATGACTAGTCTGTCGAGGGATCCACCAACAGTAGTCACAAGGGTGCATTGTGTGTCCACACATTCTTGCCCCAGTCATACCTCTCCGTCCCTCATCACCAACATCCTTATCACGCTCAGTCTCTCCAAGAGTATCTCGACCAGGTTCGGCAACCAAGCTGTTATGGTTGGCCCGGACGAAGTGCTGTTTGTTGGTGGGGCGGCTTTAGAGGAAGAATAGACAACAGCAGCCTTGGGTGAGATTTCACTGCTTGCACTCAATGGGCTGTCTGCTGCGCATAAGGCATGTGCTTGGGCATGCTGAAAAGCCTTCTTCTATAGAGGTTCTAAAGATTTGACACGCCATGTGGGTCAACTCAGGGGAGAATTGACTGTGCACCTATGGGTGTGAGACAGTGCAGCGGAGGACAGAGCCAGTGACTGTCTAATATGGACCGGTAGTAATACCAGATAAAAGTCTGACGACTGGTACTACATTTGGAGGGGCCGATGTACGGTAGTGTACAGTTTCGGCTACTAGGTGGTAACTCCATGTGTCATTCGGCTACATCTGCTGGTACCCTACATCTGTGATACTGCAATCATGAAGATGGTGCCAAGGATGGAATTGCTTCAAGAAAATATAAGACTACCGTACTGGTATACCTTCATACAGGCACTTAATTCTGAATAGAAGATTGATACCTAAAACGCTACTGGATTGCATATACTAATAGATAGCTACCTATAGCAAAGACTTTCTAATATCGACACATCTGGCTAGGCCTACAATATATATACACACAAAAACCACAGCAACACAGCACACCTCTGCACTTAGACTGTGCAGACACCTTGGCGAATCCTGGTTTGGTCTGGCAGGCAAATTTTGGCGCCTGAGGGTATTTTATCGATGCACTCGTATCCGTTGATGCGCTTGTAGCACCCCCGAATGCCCCGGAAGTATTTGATCTGGATGAAGCTGCAGCGCTCACTCCCACTTGCTGTGAGCCCCTTGCTCTTTGGGCAGATCCCCACCGTGTACTCACCCGATACCTGTATGCACGCCTGCGATGGGATGCGGTGGGATGGGATGGGATGGGATGGGATGGGATGGGATGGGATGGGATGGGATGGGATGGGATGGGATGGGATGGGAGGCACACGAGGAGAATGAGAGTGTGCAAGGGGGAGGAGTCAGTTGGTGTGTGAAGGGGCGATTGATGAGACGACTCAAAGATCCCCAGAGTGCACGCACCTGATACCTGTATGCACGCCTGGTATGGGATGGGATGAGAGGCAGGTACAGGTAACGAGAAAGAGAGACAGTGCGCGGGGAAGGAGAAAGTGGAGTGGGTGATGCAATGCGCTGCGCTGCGATGCGCTGTGCTGTGCTGAGCATGCACGATGTGAGGTCAGGCCATGCAGAACTGCACCAGGGACTTGCGGCAACACAGCAAGGCCATGAATACAGCAGCATGGGTTCATCACGAACCCTCTTGTATCTCAAACAAATCTGCTTTGAACACGTCACAAAGCGATCCCTCTCATGCGTACCTCAAAGCCCCAGTGCAGGTCCAGGCCAGCACCACTTAATATACAGTTCAAAAATAGAAAACTGGAGCCTGCCTGTAAACCGCCAGTAGCACCAATCCTCTCTCATCCTTACCTCAAAGCCGGTGTGCAAGTCCAGGCCAGCAGCATCGGGCACGAGGCGGTTGCACTTGATGCCGGGGTTGAGGCGGAAGAAGTCGAGCGGGGAGAGCGGCGGGGAGGGCACACTGCGGATGGCATCGCACGTCTCGGCGGTCTGCACCAGGTAGTACTGCGAGCACACCGGTATCACCTGCCCCGCCTTCCCCGCCGCCCCTGCCCGCCGTTCCACACACACCGCCTGGTTCGGCTGCACCTGCGCCCCACCCTGGCAACTGAAGCCCGGGTTGAGGCTCTGCACGACTGTGGCGCAGGAGGGGTCCTTGCTGCGACAGTCGTTGAGGTTGAAGTACTCTCCTATGGACTGGCACGTGTCGTCCTGGTGAAATGGGCGTTTCATTGCGGGGAAAGGTGGCGATGGTGGTGATGGTGGTGGTAATGGTGATGGATGGTGCATCATTGGATAACGCACAGGGTGCGGAAGGAGCACAGGAGGAAGGATGCAAAGAGGGGGGTTCCACATGAAAGGACCCACAATACGAAGAGCAAAAGGAGTCACAGTGTTTCATGAACGACAACCGCCACATGTACCCACCCTCCGACTGCGGTGCCAGGGGCACCAGGAAAACCGTCAACACACCGAATGAATCAACTCAAACGGCATTTGGAATTCCGTTTACACATTTTTGCAGCGGTGCAAACGACCTTACAGTCGAATTAAAGCCCAACAAAACGCTCCCTACTGGGACAGTGGTGTCGTACACAAAGCAGGGGGTGAGTCCGGGCTTGGGCACGACAGTGAGCACCTGGCCTATGGGCAAGGGCTCGTTGCAGGAGACGGGGCCCTTGTTAAAGTCGTCTTCAAAGCCACCTCGTTGCCTACCGGGACAGTGGTGTAGTAGACGGTGCAGGGGGCGAGTCCGGGCTTGGGGGTGACATTGACTGTCAGGCCGACTGGCAGAGGATCGATGCAGTTCACAGTGGGCTGCACCGGTACAGGGGGGACGGGGTGGTGGAAGGGGGAGGAATTCCTTAGGCGCCTCACAAAGGTGAGTCCGGGCTGGGGCATGACAGTGAGTAACAGGCCTACTGGGGGCAGTACACAGTTCACAGGGGCTGCAGTGATACAGGGGGGAGGGTGGAGAGGGAGTAGAGAGCTTCTAAACGACGGAGATTGATTGATTTGACGGAGACAAAGCAGATGGAGAGATTGATGAGACGGGGAACATGCAGACTCAAGGATGAACCAAAGCGACACATCACATGCAGAACACATCACATGCAGAACACATCACATGCAGAACACATCACATGCAGAACACATCACATGCAGAACACATCACATGCAGAACACATCACATGCAGAACACATCACATGCAGAACATATCACATGCAGAACACATCATATGCAGAACACATCATATGCAAAACAAATCATATGCAGAACACATCATATGCAGAACACATCATATGCAGAACACATCATATGCAGAACACATCACGTGCAGAACATCATCACATAGTGAACATCATCACATGGCAGAGATGGCTTCTGAGATGACTCACGGATCAACCAGCG